AAGGACACTCTAGATGAGGGATCCCTTTTCAAAGTAGCCATCCTTTTCCTAACTTAAACTTCATGAGTTGGTCTTTCCAAGTTGTCGTGATGGTGCCAATTGCTCTAGCCATTGCACTCCAAGAATAACATCAGAATTACCTAGTTTTAACGTAAGAAATCATCACAAATTTGTACCCTTTGCACCTCTAATAGGACAGAAAGATTTCATTCCTACAATTACTTATTCGTTGAGAAAATAACCCACGGGAAGGGCCGAGAGGAATTAGCATACCAACTCACTTTCATCCACTCCCCCATTCCTTGAACAACCTCTCTATTCCCATGGGAAATACCAAACTCTTTCGTCGGACTCACTGGGATATCCAACTTCTCCACGGTCTTCGACGAAATAAAATTATGGGTAGCTCCCAAATCAACCATCACCACCACCTCTCTCCCGTTGATAGTACCCAACTTCTTCATGATTTTGGGTTTGTAAACCCAACGACATAGTTCCACAAAATTTCAGTCGATATTACCTCCGGTATGATTTCGGCCCCTTCTTCACGTGCATCATTGACCTCCATTTCTTCATCATCTTCTTCTTGGGCAAGCAAAACACTCCGTTCCCGCCGGCAACACCGTTGTCCTTGCACCTAACACACAACCCTCGTTCTCGTTTATACTGCAATTCCTTGTCAGTTAGCTTATGTATTTCCCCGGTGTTTGAACCCATCGGAAGGTGGGGGTTTGAGTTTTGATTAAATTGGGTCACCTTTGTCTGGGTAGTCGGTGTTGAGAAAGTGGGCTTTAAAGAACTTGGGTTTTGGGGTCCGTTAGAGAAATTCCAAGCGGTGGTCAAAGGCTTACTTGCATTTATGGAGGTAATTAGGACAACAACTTTGATCAAAAAGCCACCATACGTGGCCTTCCGTCTTGGCCCCAATCTCAGTTTTTCTTCCACCCTAATTGCTAAATCCACTGCTTGGTCCCACTTCCCAGGGTCCAACAACCTCAACTCAGCCTTAATATCCTCCTTTAATCCCATTAATAAAATTGCCCAAAGCTATTTCTTCTGGAACATTTGTCAACAGAGTTGCCAATTCAATAAAATCCCGCCCGTACTCCACCGCCGTCCCATGTTGCTTCAAGGCCAGCCAATGCTCATAAAGGGAGCCATAATGGGTGGGACGAAATTGACGTAGCATTAGGGCCTTGAGCCCCTCCCATTGATGTATCGGTCGTCGACGATGCTCCCATTGATCCCCTTCCATTCCAATAACCATGCCTCCAATTTCTCTTCCTCACTCAATTTGTAAGACTAAACATACCTTTCAGCCCTTAGGATCCACCCATCGGGGTTGTTACCATCAAAAAGAGGCATGTCTAACTTGCGGAATCACCAATTTCCGCCTCCTCCTTTCAAGCCTCCCGGTGCACCATAGTAGTTTTTACCTGCGTTTAGGTCTTCCGCCTCCTGGCCTTGAATTCATAACATCATGTCCTCCTCTTGACCCTTCAATAGCAGAATCCCACAGAGAAGATAACCGACCTCCTCATTCATCTGTCTCTCTCTTCTAGGACGTTGAAGGTTGCCTTTGAGTTCATTTATGGTAGATCGAATATTTGTCTGGAACCTCAACTGATCGGCTTTCGCTTAATGATCATGCTTTCATGATACTCTCGGGATCTGGTGATCCTTCCTTCTAGTCTCATGCTCATTGAATTCAGATCTTCCCTGAATTTCTTTGTAAACTGTTCCAGATTTGCTGCAATTTGAGTTGTCAGGGACTGCTGCATCTGTTTTATCAGCAGCACCTACCACAGCAGTTACCTCTTCCGTGATGGAACTACAAAGGGAAGCAATTTGCTCTTCCAATTATTCAACTCGTTGAGTATTTGTGGTAGTCATGGATCGTCTACTCTGATACCACTGTAATAGATCTAACTATGCTAGGCTGAGAACAGAAGAATTAGAAGGCAAGAATAAGAAATTCGAGGGAAAATGGTTGTTGTATTTGTATATGAGTAATAAAGTTGTAAGGCTTTCGAGTGGCCAAACTCATGTCATACAATGAGTCTAAGAAGACATAGGTAAGATTTTTCGCCAAAATCAGGTGGTTTTGCTTTGATTGCCCTACTAGTATTATCCTCAAAACTAGGGTGTCATCTGTTTGTATCATTTGTAGGTTAGGAACTCCCTAAGTTGGCAGCCATATCTATCAAGAGATCTGTTACCAAGGTTCCTTAACATAAATTCTTCACCACCGCACAGGGTTGACTTCCCTTTGAGATAGTCCTTTTTCTAGTCCAGGACCTATCAAGGGTTTCCTGATGTCTCTTCTGAATATGGGCTAATCTGGCAGTTAAATATTCAACAGCTAACTCCATTTGGTTAAGCTTGTCAAGGATCACATCAAAAGGGTGGTTTGCTTCACAAGAATAAGTCTTCCCATGATGAGAACTGTTGGCTAATCTAACATCAACATGTGAAATGGAAAGAGGTACCATACAGTAAAATAAATCTTGTCTGAATCATATATGATCAACAGCAAAATCAATGTTTATCAGGAAGGGCAAGCAAAGGAGATACGCAGTGGTGCTATATTCTCATTAGGAAGTTATTGAACTAGGGTAGCAAGGGGTCACTAAAGAAAAGAGAGCTGTAAATATCAATAATAAGTATCACTAATAAGCAAGAACATGAAGACGAACATGAAGACGAACATGAGTATGATGGGGTGGATGATAAAATCTTTGATAGATACTTGTAACACCCTAGTTTCATATTTGTTAAATTACAATGTTTTAAGCCTTGCATACAAATATTATGAGCAATTTAAGTACTCTAAAAACATACCAGCAACTGTAGCATCTATTAAATTATCATATTTTCAAGGCAAGTACCTTACAAGTAGCTTACGATGGCAAAGCATGAAAAAATCAAAGCTACATAGATGACAAAGCAAGCCTAATAAAGCATGCATAAAGCAAGCTAAGTAATGAAAAGCTAGAAGCATGACAAGGCAAGCTAGAAGCACGATGTGTCAAGATTCTCTTGTCCAAAAGTATGAGGTATTAAAAATCTCATAAGAGTGCAATCTTGAATCCAAAAAGGACAAGTAGTTCATGCCTTGTGTTTAACTAAAAATAGAGGAAGAAGTTAGGCCATTAGGTTAATACCAACATCACTTTCTCTCTCAATATACTACTAAGCTTGAAGTAAGAGATCAAAGGAAAGCTAGGCATAATCAAGGTGAGTATGTTATGAGATTTATTGAGATACATATATGCTATATAAATGTATTTTATGCATTATAAAGAAATTGATAAGATGATTTTGCATATTTGCTTTACACAAAATGATATGTTTATATAGGCAAGATATATGTATGATGGCATGTTTTGATGTGCTTTACACATAAGGCATGAAAGTTTTATGCATGTTATATATGACCATAAATATCCAACATACAGGATATAGAATGAAGGGACGTCTTGCAAACGCACCTTATGGGGCAGCCTTTAAGGACCCCGGGGTTAGCAAACCTCAAGGCAAGTACGGTATACTTACATGTGACAAGTAAGATCTCAAAAGAATGTTTATGCATGATAAAAAGATTATTTTGTGCACGATCAAGAGTTTTAGTGAATTAGTATTCACAAAATGTTAAGCATCATGAAAATTGTTTATTCATAAAACCATAACTACTCACTAAGCTTTTAGATTATGTATTTCATGTATGTATCTCAGGAAAGGAGTAAAGAAGGATATCATGAAGAAGTATTGTTCTAATCAATAGCAAGCTATTGAGTTATGTTTCCACTAGTATTTGAATTGTGGTGTAATCATAAAGCTAAGTTTTATAAATAAAGTTAAACTTCAAGTTCATATACAAGACTTGATAGTATCAATAAGAAGGTACCCAAGTAAGAATTGGGGCGTTTTAATACCTGTTGACAAGATGGAATTGAAAACAGGGATGAAAAGGGGCATGTCGAAGTCACAAAAGGCTTCAGTATAGAGGAAGGCAGTAAGGTAACAAAAATGATAACAGATCATGAGGAGGATCACAATGGTTAATAACAAAGGTGTCACAATGGGAAGTCGAGCAATGACATAGAGTCACAAAGAGTGATATAAAGTTACAAAGGAGGTTGGCAAGACAGCAGAGGGGTTAGCAAGTGTAGAAAGCTAAAGAATTTGGCTACTAATAACACGGATGTTGGCAGAAATAAATTGTCGATATTTAGGATTTATATTACTTCTACGAAAGCCTGGTCATTATACCATCTAGAGATGTATGGATTGAATATATGTTATATTGCTATTATAAACGTTTCAGATGAACTGTGTACTTAGATGTGTGCATGAAATCAAACAGTTTATAGACTTGGTAATGTACTCGGTCACTAGGAAATCTCCCTATTAGCATTTGGAATATGCATGGAAGAGAAAGCGACATGAAGATCTCTCTATTTACATTTGAAACATATGTGAAAGACAAAGCAGACACCTGAAATAAAGGATATCTTGAAAAGGATAAGTGTGGGTAGTCCCAGAGTCTTTTCATGAGGGAATAATTCATGGCTATGGATGAGGTGTTGAGTTCCGATGTTCCATTTTGTCCACAAGGTCATAAGAACGCCATATATACTTTCCATCAGTTTTGAGTCCAGTTCCAATGAATATGGACCACTCGAATCAATTTGAACCATTCAGTTTGATTGGAAAATTGAGAAGGGTAAAACTGATGCATGATAATTTCCTCTACTTCCTACTTTTGGTTATTGGTCATAGCTAGAAATAAAATATAAGAGTACATAACTGAAAATAAACTGATGAAGAAATAGATGGACAAGGAGAGTCCAGAACCCAATAGTAATTTAATGGCCGGTCAGAAACAAATATGTGGTACAAACATGACGTCAAACAAGAACATGAGATGCTAGTTGGTAAATTAGATTATAAACACACTTTAGCTTAAGATTAAAAATCAGTCATTCTGGTGGCAGTACCTCTTTAGCTTGTTCCATTAGTTCTTGTCCAAGCTTCTTCAAAAGTAACACGGTCTTGGGTGATGATTTCCACATAAGCATCTGCTGTTGGGTGCTTGGATGAGTGAACGCCAAAGAAGATTCTGTTACCTTTTCTCGGGTGCAAGAGAACCCATCTGTGCGCACTAAAAACATCTCTGCTTTCTTTCTTGATTGCACTCTTACAACACCCGTTGTTGAAGCACACATATTTCCCTCAATCAATTCTACATCTTCATTGGTAGAAGATTTCACTGGTTTCCCATTGCTTAATATCTCTGAAACAACGCCCAAGCTATCTGTACCCGTAACATGTGCACCTACTTTACTAGTGGCATGCCTATCTGCATCATTGAATTCCTCTAAACTGGAAGGAGCAGGAAGAGAATTGTGATGATTCTGACCAACACTGTTTCCACTGTATGTAGATAAGTTCGTGTAGGTCACTGAACCGTTCGACCTTTCTGTCTCAACAAACCCAGAATCAGGATTCTTGATTCGTAAAAATGACTCATTATAATTATGTTTCTTTCTTGATCTGGCTTGTTTCTCCAATCTTTTGCGCTCAAAAGTAAAATACGTCGTAGGTGAAAGAGTTTTATTTCTGAAAAACATGGACATGTCTTTTCTGGAGAAAAGATTGCAAGGTGGTAGTTGGGATTCCATAGGACTGATACAGAAACCAACCGAACTTCCATCTTGATCATTGTCGATTTCATTCAACACTTGGGTGTCGATGCCTTTGTAGGCTCCATTACTGCTTTTGTATTGGTTCACTGTGGTTGGAGAATCCTCATTATCTTCTTCCACAGCTATATCTACTTTTGAGATTGATGAAAGTTGTAATTGCTCTCTAGACATATATTGCCTCCATCTAGAAACCATTGCAGACGTTCTCCAGACGCCTTCCTTACTATGGAGATATATAGGCTTTTTTGTCGAGTCTGACATTAGAGCCGAAAAAATCTCAACCTGCCCCATTGCTGGTGCTGTCCCAACTTCAACCGGAAGTTTGAGCAGTCCAATTTTCCCAGATGAAACTGCATCTTTCAATGCTGTTTCATAGAATATATCATTCACAGTCTCTGCTCTAAGATCTACGATGGTTTTGAAGCCTCTCTCCACCAACCACTTGAGACTTTCCTCCGTCAATTGGCTACCCCTCCAAAAAGCAACTTCAGAATCAGTTGGTTCTATATCTTCTTTCGAGGTAGATAGATAAACAGGATTCCAATTTGCAAATAATGATTGAGGTGGATATTCATCCCCACGAGGAAGCCCAGAATCATAGCAAACATTTTTCAGTCTTTGAAGTTTTCTCCACACGTCCAGGCTTCGAACATCGTCTGGAGTCAAAAATATTTCTAGAGCAACATGTAGACTTTCACAATACCTTTTCATCTCACGCCTAAAAAGAGCAAGCGGTGGAAGTTTATCCTCCATTATGTCTACATTTGAGGCACTGAATGACTTCATGATGGTTGATCTGCCAGAGAGAAGATCCTCCCTTCCTTTATTAAGTAGGCATATCATACAACCAAGAACAGACACTATCTTATCTTCAAGTAATGGTTTGTCCTCTGATGGGAAAGCATAAGAAACACTACATTCCCCGGTAACTGGGTTACACAATGTGTCCATCAATGCGTTGTGAAGCCTTTCAGCAGCTCTAAAAATTCTACAGTATGCTTCAACTTCAGCAATGTCTCCCGGAAGTGGACCAACCCAGGGCAGCTGTGTCAAATTATGTGACTGGTATGTCTAGAAATTCCAAGCAAAGCAATTAGTAATTTACATTATCAAAGAGTTTTTCCAATGCTAGTATGCTACTATGCTATACAAAAACACGAGATAAGAGTGGAAAAATGTTAAGCTCCATTAAAAATTTCACCGCACGTCTTTCCACAGCAACTCATTTACCATGTTTTGAAGTTGATTGTGGTTGCTTTCACTAAAGTAGCATCGGTGCTAATTATGCTTTTCTTTTTCCAACCCATTTCAGGTAAATAACTGAAGTTGAAGATATGTGTGAGAAACTAGCACAGGAATCTATGCTGAACAGGATGAGCATAATGGTTGACATACTTGACATTGATAAGCATTTTAGAAACATTACTTGTAATGATATATGTTCTGCAATTTTGATATCTCTTGAATTCCAAGGCCAATTATAATGAACTTGAGGTTCAACCAAATTACTCCCTCTGTCCCAAAATCCAGTCCACATTTGACTTGAGTGTAAAGTGGGGGTGCCTTCCAATGTATCACGATAATAGGAATTTTATAAAGTTTAAACTATTATAACAAGAATTTTATAAAGTTTAAACTACGAACACTTGTGACAGCCTGCGATATGAAAAGTAGAAACTTTGATTCCCATAATTAAAAAATGTACCCTTTTTTGGAAGGAGGAAGTATATTATTCAGGGAAAGTTGCATGAAAATGCAACTTTGTTTTGATTCCTATTTTGTGTAACATACTTTCAAAACCTTCATTTTGGTACCTTAGATGTGAAATCTCAAACATTTCGATGCCTAGTTTACATTTGAAAATGCAACATTCTTTTGTCCAATTTTTACATTATATAACGTACATTGATCTAAATGTTTGAGATATCATATAGGATAGATAAGAATGAAGATTATGAAAATACGTTACACATAGAAGGAAATCACATAAAGGTACTGTTTTAATTCAATTTGCCCTATATTAAAGGGAGTTTTGCTAATATGACCTTCCTATGGTTAAATGTCGATAACCACACTCACAAAGTACCAAGAAGAAAAAGTTATACCTAATTTTATCATGTATCTTCTCTTTCAAGAAATGTATCAATTGTACATGTATAATTCCATTAAATACTCGGTCTTACAACATATAGTTTCTTGTTTACAGTCAGAGTACATTTTTGGGGAAATTTTATATTAGAAAAGATACCTATTCGGTGACATGCTATAATACACCCAACGATTACAGGTATGATCAACATTAACAATACGTATGATCGACACTATCAAATTTTGGGGATCCCACTCAAAAGCAGTCTCGATTCCATTTCAGTATATACAAGTTCACACTTCCCAAACACGTTACTCGACGAACTAAAGATCTAAATCTACCCAAGAAACAATTCATTAATTCATTTTATAGAAGGGAATGTCAATTTAGGCTTTCATATGACCAAGAACGATGAAAACTCAGTAGTTAAAGTGAGGAATGATGTACCTGAGAATCCAAGCCGATGTTGACGGAGAAAGGATTAGAGAGTTCCGCCCCAGCAGTAACAACCAGATTGAGACGTCGGCGTTCATGTGACCGCCACTTGGTCATAAACCCCAAGAAATTACCGGGTTCCCTGAATCGATGAAGCTCGAATGGAAGGCGTTTTCGGGTTACAGTCTGTACAATTGGAGATGTTCGATTCATGTCGAGAATTACCAAGTGACATGAACATGACGCCATGCCACAACCATAGAATTATGCAAGTAACCAGCGTACGTATGTGGGAAATATGTGTGGATTGTGAAAATTAGGAATTGTGGATAATAACAAGAGAGGGACCAAGGGATGAAAGGTGGTGGGTTCGTTTGGAGTTTTGTTGTGTTGTGTTGTGTTTCTTTGACATTTGATTCGTAGATGTTTCAGTTCTCTCCATTTCTAATGCTCCTGTTCAATGTGACAGAGGAAGAAGGGACTACCAAACAAATTTCAACTTATCCCCAAAAAACACTGGAGCTGATCCATGGCACAAAGTTTGTGAAACTCGTTAGAGCAAATTACAAATCTACTCCCTAGACTGCTTGCTAAAGTGTGATTTTAATCTTTAGATTTTTTTATTTTATTCGATTTAGAAGTTATTTTTTGTCTTTGAAACTAATGTCGTTGATGTTTTCTATTGTCTTATAAGAAAAAAAAAACGTACTCTGAAGCGTTATTGTCGTACCGATCTTACGATCATCATGTGAGAGAGATATCATGCAAGCATCGCATTGATAAGGGCAATGTTTGGACTTTAACCTAGTATCTCATGTATATGGATTAGAGTTTCACCTTTAACACTATGACTATTAAGTGGACATCCACTTCATTAATACTAATGGGTTGTTTGTTTACCTCTTAATAGTTCTATTAATAAGCAACATTTGAATCATTAAACGGTGAATCTTGTTTGCCAAAAAAAAAATTCTGCCTCTTAATGGTTTTAAAACTCTCTGATTGATTTTGTATTATGGGTCTCCCTTAACCATTCAGCGTCCTAATTTCATTATAAACAATTATCAAACAATTATATTTCATTTTTCACTATATCATAAGAATTTCTTAATCATTCTGTATCAAACAGCCTCTAAATGAATTGTTTAAATGTCATGTAAGTTAAAATGCTTGGTGTGATACATAAATAAGAAATTATGGTTTTGGTCAATGTAATAGATTGTTAATGGCAATTACAATAAATCTAAGTAGATTTTTGAAGTCAAATCAACACTTTTTAATGATATAATATAAATCTATATGATAAATTTGTTATAATTGTTAATACCATATCAAGGTTTTTGGTTATGCATCATATATATTTATAAAAAATGCATCTAATTTATTTAATATTTAAAATCCGTAATGAAAAGAAGAAATTAAACATAATAATATTCATATAATTTTGTATCCACTAAAACTAATTGTAAAATTATAAGTTTTTACTATTTTTTAAAGCAGCAAATTATTAATATTAATTTTGTGACACATTTTTTAAAAATAAAAAAACATAATAATTATTGGATGCATATATTCAAAATGTACAAACTTAACATATAAATAATACTAGTGAAAATAAATATTAGTACAACATGATAAAATCAATCATTTTTCGTTTAAAAGTTTTAAAGTAGATTTTCACATCATTTCATGTGTGTTTTTGTCGTAGTTGGGACATCCATTTTCATCAATCTATTATCATCTTTATTTTTCATGTTTGTTTTATCACTTCTTGTTCCTTCAACCTGATAGTGAATTCTCTCACGAGTTCTACTTTTTCCTTCTCGATATTCAAGTGTCGCTTCATTTACAAATGACTTTTTTTACGTTTTTTCTTTGATGCTTTCTTTCCCGATGAACAAGGAGTCAATAGAAACCTACTTATGCCCTTGAGTCGATCTGGTAAAGTATTGAGCAAAAATATTGAATTAGCTCACAAATTGTCTTTCCTTTTGAATTTTGTCCAAGATTAACGTGTTTGAATTTAAAGAAGATAAAGTGTAATGACCATCTACATTATTCTTATTCCTCTTCAAACCCTTGTTGCCAACTATATCTTTCAAAAACACTTGTATGCTCCTTCACTTAACACCATTTGAGTAAACAAAAAATTAAATTATCCACTCCTTAATGAACGATATAACTTTAATCCTTAATTTTTTGTCTACTTCATTCAACTCACATTCGTGATGGTTCATATCTGTTCATAAATACCCAACAAACTGTGAAATATCATGATTTATTTTATCTCGATGACTTATAAGTCAAGAAGACATTTACAACGGAGTGGCAAAGATGGATATAAACATCTATACAAAAACTATTTCTCTCACAATCTGATGTACAATGAAGAAATATTTCGACGTAGATATTAAATGTTGTTGACACCTATTTCTTCACATAATTGAAGGTGTTAAGAGCAGTTATCCTTTCTTTCAAAGTAATTCCAGCGCCTACCAGTAGATAAAGTATATCGCTTCTTCAAAAGTGTATTGCTACGAAGTGTATGTAAGCATGTGGTGTAGGCACAGATGTTGATATGATTGGGGAAGAGAATTTGTGAAGGACAAATGTTGCAGACCTTGAACAATTACTTCGCATTGGTCATCAATGAGGTTTCCCAAATATATTAGTAAGTATGTTGCATCAAATGACCAATATGCCAGAGAGGATCATCAGACTCAAACTATTATTTTAAATGTTGTTACTTCACAAGATAAGAAGTTATGACATGTTTTTTATCCCCCATACCTTAAATGAAATCAACATGTTAAGATCGTTCTCCTGTCTTCTACTAGGTGTTGGAAGGAAAAGCATTGAAAATTAACTTTTTTTAAGTATATAATATTTATATACAGTAAATGCAACAAATAAGCTCACACACTCTCATCACCTTTGATGAGGTTTGAACCCTTGACCTTCTAGGAAGTCAAAGGCTACGATACCGTTAGGCCGAAGGCCCTTTGGTATTGAAAATTAACTTTGTGTCAATATGGTTGGGAAATATATATTGTACGCAACGGGCAAAATAGTCCATAGTTGATAGTAGGGGTGTTCATTTAAACCATCAAACCACACATACCGCACCACAAAGGGTCGTTTAGATCTTTTGCAATGTGGTTTACGATACAATTTATGGTTTTAAATAATCAAACTATGGTTTTAACTGCAATGTGGTTTTATCCTAATTATATTTTAGATTTTTATATTTAAAATAAGATGTTTATCTTGTATTTGATTATGTTTATCTGCAATTAGTTACACGAATTCAGATATTGAGCTTTAATAAGTTGTACTTACGCACAATCTACTTGTAATCTTGAGTTTTAAGTAATATGCATTAATAAACAGTATTTTACGCATAAAAAGTAGTTTTTAAGAGTTTTTGTCAAATGCTTTACAAGATATTATAGATTTTTTTTATAATTTAATTTAAGTTTAATAATGAAATAATTTATTTTTGGTTTAATAATATAATATTTTATAAAGATGATAATTAAGTATTCTGTTAGAACTCAATGATTATCCTAATTATATTTTAGATTTTTTATATTTAAAATGAGATGTTTATCATGTATTTGATTGTGTTTATCTGCAATTAGTTACACGAATTCAGATATGAAGCTTTAATAAGTTGTACCTACGCACAATTTACTTGTAATCTTGAGTTTTAAGTAATATGCATTAATAAACAGTATTTTACGCATAAAAAGTAGTTTTTAAGAGTTTTTGTCAAATGCTTTACAAGATATTATAGATTTTTTTTATAATTTAATTTAAGTTTAATAATGAAATAATTTATTTTTGGTTTAAATTAAGTATTCTGTTAGAATTTAATGATTATACTAATTATATTTTAGATTTTTTATATTTAAAATGAGATGTTTATCCTGTATTTGATTGTGTTTATCTGCAGTTAGTTACACGAATTCAGATATAGGATGAAATCGGATAGGGATGAACGGGTTTAAGAGTTTTTAAGAGTTTTAGCCAAATGCTTTAAAATATAGTATATATATATAAATATATATATATATATATATATATATATAAACTTGAGATCATGTGAGACCAAAGGTTTTTCGTGAGACTAACCATTGGATTAGATCTACAATCTGAACATTCATAATCACAAATTGCCACGAGACTTCTCAATAATTACAAAATTGCCACCGTGCAACTTTAAACCATTAGATCATTAGTTTATAAAGTTGATCAATGAACATAAATTGGTCTTATATGGTCTAACAAAAAACCCCCGGTCTCACGTGAACCCAACCTTCCCCTTCGTACCGCCTCGGTCGTGTCTCGTCTCCGTCGTATGCCTTGTGAACCACTCCAGCAAGTTCCAGTCAATGCTTTGAAGCCATCAAAGAAACAATCAAAGCAAAACCAAAAAGGGTTGTTGATTTCATAGGGCCAAATCAAAGAAGAGAGATAAAGTTTTCTAATAAAGGAGAAGATGAGATGGTTGTAGCAGGGGAAACCGTCGATGAAAAAGTAGATGGGGGTGATGGGGGTGGCTGGAGAAGAAGTAGACGAAGGAGAAGAGTACCTAAAGCATATAGGGTTTTATAATTATAACATTACCAATTTACCTTTTATGTTATTTTAGGATATAACATTAATTATTTAAATGATTGGCTCATATTGGTTCTCACAGTTACCACAAACAACTCAGTTCTCATTTGATTAAGCCCCTATATATATATATATATATATATATATATATATATACACACCATAAATTTACACAAAACACCCTGAAGAATTGAAGTTATAACCCCGATACCCTTGAACTTCTTCAATAAGTGAGGCACAGTCCTTCAATAACTTTGACATATTTGTCTTTCCAACTTTGACAATTAAAGACTTATCAACAATAAACATGACAAAACAAGTCACAATAGTTAAGATTGACAAATATAACATGTTTTAACACCCGCTCTCAATCTTGACTTTTGAACAAATCAATCATTCTCAGTTTTAAACACAGGTAATTAGGATGATTAATACCAAGGGCTTTTGTGAAAATGTCTACAAATTGCTCGGAGGAAATAATCTTTACAACTTTTAACACTCCCTTATTAATTTTTTCCCGAACTTGATGAACATCAATTTCAATGTGTTTAATATGTTCATGAAGACAGTATTATTGGCAATTTGAATGGCAGACCTGTAAAGAAGATCTTTTATATTTATATATGACAAAACTTTAAGAACCTGTTAGAACTGAATTTCAGTGTTAAATTGTATTCGTCTTGAAAGATAATTTTGTCTATAATTGTTTTTAAGACATCGTATTTGACTTTCCTTGTTAGTTTGACTTTGACTAGTGAGTTTTAACTTTGACCCTATAAATAGTCTTTTGTCTTTTGTGTAAT